TCACCATCCTCTGCATCGACCTGGGCACCGACATGGTGAGACAGGGACCCCAAACCCACCCCAAATCCGCCCCAAATCCACCCAAATACCACCCCAAACCCACCCAGAGACCCCCAAATCCATCCCAGAATCCCCCCCCAAACCCACCCCATTCCCGTGCTGGGAATTTCGGGGACCTCCTCACCCCCAAATCCTCCCTTCTGGGGCTCTTCGGGGATTCCCCCCCCAACACCCCAGAACCGGGGGAGGGACGACCCCAAATCCACTCCTCAGAGCCCCAAAACGCCCCCTCCCCCTTCTCGCGACCCTCGGGACCTCCCTCGATTTTTGGGGTCCCCCCCAGGTCCCCGCCATCTCTCTGGCCTACGAGGCGGCCGAGAGCGACATCATGAAACGGCAACCGAGGAACCCCCGCAGCGACAAACTGGTCAACGAGAGGCTCATCAGCATGGCCTACGGCCAGATCGGTCAGTGGTCACCCAGGGGTCACCCAGGGGTCACCCAGGGGTCACTGGGGGTCACCCAGGGCCACCCAGGGTCATCAGCATGGCCTACGGCCAGATCGGTCAGTGGTCACCCAGGGGTCACCCAGGGGTCACTCGTGGGGGGGTCCTGTTGACTCCCAGTTGCCCCCAGTGACTCCCAGTTGCCCCCCCTGACCCCCTGTTGCCCCCCAGGGATGATCCAGGCCCTGGGCGGGTTCTTTGCCATTGACCCCCAGTGACTCCCAGTTGCCCCCAGTGTCTCCCAGTGTCTCCCAGTTGCCCCCCCTGACCCCCCGTTGCCCCCCAGGGATGATCCAGGCCCTGGGCGGGTTCTTTGCCATTGACCCCCAGTGTCTCCCAGTTGCCCCCAGTGACTCCCAGTGTCTCCCAGTGACTCCCAGTTGCCCCCAGTGTCTCCCAGTTGCCCCCAGTTGCCCCCCCTGACCCCCCGTTGCCCCCCAGGGATGATCCAGGCCCTGGGCGGGTTCTTTGCCTATTTTGTGATCCTGGCCGAGAACGGCTTCCTGCCCTCGTGCCTGGTCGGGATCCGCCTGCGCTGGGACGATCGCACCATCAACGACCTGGAGGATTCCTACGGGCAGCAGTGGGTGCG